TTTTTTTTTTCATAAAAAATAAGGTGGCGAACAAATTAATACAAGTAAGAACTGTACAATTCTAACGATCTCTTTGTTTCTCTAGAAAGCCAACACACATACATATTACAGCTATGGATTTGAACATCGTACAACTTTTCATCRGGTTCTGTGTGTCGTATGCATGTCATTGTAGTGATCTTAATCTCACAAAGTCAAAAAGAGAAGAACTGATCTCCTTGTTAGAGGAATGTTTGGTGATGGCTCTTTTCCTAAATGATACTAAGAAACTTGTCCAGATTTATCTTTCACTTGGTGAATTATACGATCTTGTCGATCAAGCAGCTAAAGCAATCGATTCTTTCCAGAATGTTCTACGCCTTATCACTGGTATAGGCAATTATGCTTTCGAGATATATGCTAACGAAAATTTAGGAAATATCTATAGCTCACTAGGAGAATATCACAAGGCGATTGAATATCAAAAAAAGAGTCTGAGCGTAGCAAAAGAGATTGGTGACAGAGAGAGAGAAGGAGCTGCTTATCTACATTTAGGGACTGCCTATTATTCATTAGGAAAATATAACAAGGCGACTGAATATCAGGAAAAGAGTCTGAGCATAGCTAAAGAGATTGGCGACAGACAGGGAGAAAGAGCTTCTTATGGAAATTTAGGAGCTGCCTATGGGGCATTAGGAGAATATCGCAAGGCGATAGAATATCATGAAAAGAAACTGAGCATAGATAAAGAGATTGGTGACAGACAGGGAGAAGGAGCAACTTATAGAAATTTAGGGATTGTCTATAAATCATTAGGAGAATATCACAAGGCGATTGAATATCACGAAAAGAGACTTAGCATAGCTCAAGAGATTGGTCACAGACAGGAAGAAGGAGTTACTTATGGAAATTTAGGTATCGCCTATCATTCATTAGGAGAATATCACAGGGCGATTGAATATCTCGAAAAATCACTGAGCATAGCTCAAGAGATTGGGGACAAACAGGGAGAAGGAAATGCTCATGGAAATTTAGGGATTGCCTATAATTCATTAGGAGAACATCACAAGGCGATTGAATATCACGAAAAGACACTGAGCATAGCTCAAGAGATTGGTGACAGACAGGGAGAAGGAAATGCTCATGGACATTTGGGGATTGCCTATAAATCATTAGGAGAATATCACACGGCGATTGAATATCACGAAAAGAG